ATATTTAAAAAAATAATCTTTACTTCACTTCACACTCCAAAGTCAATGCTAGGTGGTTAGTAGATCTAAATGTTCAAGTTAAATATAAATAAGTTTCCATATGGTAACATAACATTCCTTGTGACCTTGGAGTAGGCAATGGTTTCTTACAGGTTGGTAAAGTCACTAACCATGAAGGAAGATTAATAAGTTAGATTTCAATAAAAATTAAAAATTTACATTTATCAGAATCTAGCAATGAGATCATTAAAATGCAAGCCATAGATTAGGAAAAGGTTACAACACTCATCTAGAATAAAACGACAAACAACCCAAGAGAAAAATGGAGTAAACACCTAAAAGGCACGTTAGTAAAGAGGATATCCAGATGGCCAATAATCACATGAAAGATGCTCTTTATCCTTAGTCATCAGAGAAGTGTAAATTAAAACCATAAAAACACCAAATGTTGGTGAGGATGTGGAGCAATGGGAACTCTCATCATACAGTGCTGGTGAGAGTATAAATTTGAAAAACTGCTCGGCACTATAACTGTAGCTGACCATAAGCATACCCTATGTCAGTCCAAGCTATTCCACATTTAGGTATGTGTCTCAGTAGAAATATGTATCTATGTGAACAAACAGGTACACAGAATAATGCTCACTGGAGTATTATTTCCAATAGCCCCAAACCTGGAAATAACTTGAATGTACAATATCAGTATAGGTGACCAGTCACAAAAGACCTCATATCATGATTCAATTTGTGTGAAATGTCCAGAACAGGCAAATCTATGGAGACAGAAGATTTAGTGATTGCTTGGAGCTGGAAAGGACAGGGAGGTGGGGTAGGGGAATGATAGCTAATAAGAGTATGGAGTTGCTTTTCAAGTGATAAAAATGTTCTAAAATTGACTGTGATAATGGTCATACATATCTGTGAGAATACTAAAATTAAATGACATTGCATTGTACACTTTAAATCGATGAATTGTATAGTATTTGAATTATATCTCAATAAAGCTGTTATTAACAACAACAAAAAAAACAGTATAAAGGGTATATTGTGTATATTCATAAAACTGAATGCCATACAGCATAAAATAAAACACCATACATGCAGCAACATGGATAAACTCAAATATAATGTGGAGAGAAAGAAACTAAATACTATAGAATATTTACTGAATAATTCATTTCATGTCAAAGATAAGAACAGATAAAACTAACCTATGTATTTGAGGATAAAGCAGTGGTTTTGTTTAGCCCTGACTGGACAGGGGGATGAAGGATGCTAATAATAGTTTTTCTTGATCAGCAGCATGGTGATTGCCAGGGTATGGTTGTGTTAGGCATTGAAAATTAAACTGTATTTATAATCTGTACACTTTATTATATGCTGTACTTCAACAAGTGTTTATTAAAGTATTTTTAAAAATTCAGTTTTTCAGTAAGTTGTCCTATTAGTATGCATTGAAAAAAGGGCTAAAATAATACATAAACATTTTAACACTAATATTTTGTGGGTTGGGATTATGGAGAATTTTTGTTTTCTTCTAATGCTTAGCATTTTAAAAATTACCACACTGGACATATATTACATTTATCACTAGAAAAAATGCTATTAAAATACAATTGTCTGAGAAACTCTTGTATTACTTTTAACACTAATGTATTCAAAATGTAGGGACTTGGCTTTTGCTCCCAGATGAGGAGCGACTGCCTTTTTAGAGAAGCGGGGACACTCCTGGTGGCCTTACTGACCGCCAGGAACTCACCATAGGCCACCGGCCAGGAGGGAGGGGCAGAGGTGTAGAGATTGTGAACTACGCCTGAGCATGTGAAGCCCGGGTACACTTAGTGGGTCATAGAGGTCACGGAGCCTGGGTCCTTACTGCAGAAGTACAATGGGACCTGGGAAGGAGTGGAGGACTCACTGAAGCTCCTGCCTCTGCTCTGGGTAAAGTTAATGATTAGATTCCCATCACCGTGATATTTAAGCTTTTGTAAGAGCAACAGCTAAGAACGTTTTTTGCACTTTTGCAATGTTAAAATGTTAAAAATGTTAAAAATTTTAACATTTTATGATATTGTTAAAATGTTAAAACAAAGAAGAATTAGCGACGTAAATAATTCCTGGCCTGCAAATCCTAAAATACGCGTATTTGCTATCTGGCTCTTTACAGAACAAGTCTGCCAACTCCTTGATTAGAGACTCTAGGAAGAAATATCTTAAGGTATTTAAAATTTTTACCTGGGCATGCGCTTGCTGGCGAGGAGCCAGGTGTGGAATGAGTGTATCCAGCGGCACCTGTACCACGTGGTAGAGTACTGCCCAGGCTCGTTAGACACCGCAGGTCGGAATCCACTAAAGAGAATGGAAAAATTCACCTCTGGAGAACACAGCCTGGAAAGGCATGGCTTGGCTCTTCCTGGCCGGGGGCTCCAAAAGGATGACGATGCTCACACTGCAGCCCTTGGCGGATAGCAAAGTAGGGTGTCGGTCTTCCAACTTGAAAAGCATCGCTATCACTTCTGAAGAAGCCGAGGGAGTCTGCAGAAGATCTTCTTTTCTCTGGTTATGGGTGGCGCAGCTGCACGGCGCGGTCCGAGGGCCGGTCTGCAACTTTGGAAGAAACGCCGCGTGGGTGCGGCCGACCACCCGGCGCATGCGCAGTGCCGCCGGCAGCTCCTCCCACCGCGCAGGCTCGGCCGGTCACCTCCAGACACCCGGGAAGAGCGCGTCTCTGCCGGGGTCCGCGGAACGGGGCGGGNTTAAATGACATTGCATTGTACACTTTAAATCGATGAATTGTATAGTATTTGAATTATATCTGATAAATAAAGCTGTTAACAACAACAACAAAAAAAACAGTATAAAGGGTATATTGTGTATATTCATAAAACTGAATGCCATACAGCATAAAATAAAACACCATACATGCAGCAACATGGATAAACTCAAATATAATGTGTAGAGAAAGAAACTAAATACTATAGAATATTTACTGAATAATTCATTTCATGTCAAAGACTTTTGCACTTTTGCAATGTTAAAATGTTAAAAATGTTAAAAATTTTAACATTTTATGATATTGTTAAAATGTTAAAACAAAGAAGAATTAGCGACGTAAATAATTCCTGGCCTGCAAATCCTAAAATACGCGTATTTGCTATCTGGCTCTTTACAGAACAAGTCTGCCAACTCCTTGATTAGAGACTCTAGGAAGAAATATCTTAAGGTATTTAAAATTTTTACCTGGGCATGCGCTTGCTGGCGAGGAGCCAGGTGTGGAATGAGTGTATCCAGCGGCACCTGTACCACGTGGTAGAGTACTGCCCAGGCTCGTTAGACACCGCAGGTCGGAATCCACTAAAGAGAATGGAAAAATTCACCTCTGGAGAACACAGCCTGGAAAGGCATGGCTTGGCTCTTCCTGGCCGGGGGCTCCAAAAGGATGACGATGCTCACACTGCAGCCCTTGGCGGATAGCAAAGTAGGGTGTCGGTCTTCCAACTTGAAAAGCATCGCTATCACTTCTGGAGAAGCCGAGGGAGTCTGCAGAAGATCTTTTCTCTGGTTATGGGCGGCGCCGCTGCACTGCGCGGTCCGAGGGCCGGTCTGCAACTTTGGAAGAAGCGCCGCGTGGGTGCGGCCGACCACCCGGCGCATGCGCAGTGCCGCCGGCAGCTCCTCCCACCGCGCAGGCTCGGCCGGTCACCTCCAGACACCCGGGAAGAGCGCGTCTCTGCCGGGGTCCGCGGAACGGGGCGGGAGCTAGACGGAAGGACGTGGACAGATATCTGAGTTACTTCTGGACATCATAAACCTTTACCCTTAAGGATTGCCGATATTCAGCCTACGCAAAAGACAATTCCATGTGATTCAGCCTAGTATCTCAATATGTATCCCCTAAAAATAGGGAATGTCCTACCTCAGCGTTTCTCAACCACCGCGCTGTTGACATGTTGGGTAGGATGGTTCTTTGTTGTGTGGAGGTGGGGGAGATGTTCTGTGTTAAACAATCAACAGCAGCATCGATGAGCAGCATCCCTAGCCTCTACCCACTAGATTCCAGTAGCAACCATTCCTCCCTGAGCTGTGACAACCAAAACGGAGATGTTCTGTGTTAAACAATCAACAGCAGCATCGATGAGCAGCATCCCTAGCCTCTACCTACTAGATTCCAGTAGCAACCATTCCTCCCTGAGCTGTGACAACCAAAACTGGCTCCAGAGACTGACAAATGTGTGTGCGTGTGTGTGTGTGTTGCGGGGGTGCAAAATCGCCCCTATTGAGGGCTCGTGTCCTACAGGAGCACAATACAATGATCCTACTATAGAACCTAGCTTCATAAAAATACTTTCTAAAAAAAAATGGCATCAATTTATGCTGTTGCATTGTACTATTGAAGAGCAAGGTATATTTTTCCTGTTACTAAAGTTCCAGCTTTGTGTCTTTCCAGAAAGCTTTAAGGTTTTTCTCATAGTTTTTGCACATTTTTTGTTTATTTTTAGGGTATTTCTCTTTTTTGTTGGTATTATGAATGTAATTATGTCGTCTATTTTTCCTTGGCTTGTTGCTTAATTATATGAATGTATTGATTTGTATATCTAATTTTGTATCTTGCTACCATATTGTATCTCTTATTGCTTCTAGGAGTTTTCTGTTGATTCTATTTGCGTCTCTATTTATATTTTTTATAATTGCAGTAATTTTTCATTTTGAAGCTCTGTTTGCCCTTCTTTGGCTATATTTAGCTCCTGTGCTTATTTGATACAACTTCAGATATTTTGATGGCTTCCTTGCTTTCTGACACTGTGGGTCCAGCTTCAGACCTAGAATCAGCCATTTCTTAAAGAAGTCCTCACTACTTCCAGTGAAAAGGGTATTTGGAGACCACAATCAGTGCATTTAAGGATGTTCATGGCTGAATGGCCCAGACTTTTCAATATAAGATCCAGGAAATATGTACTTTTTCAAAGAAAGATAAAAGTAAATCATAAATTTGTGCTGATATTCCAATTCTAATGGAAGATTATTGGGTTTTTATTTAACTTATTTGATTTTATATAGCAGTTCTTTTATCTTATGCTGAAAAGCATGACTCCTAATGATACTAACATAATTACTGATTTACTTTTCCTCATACATATAGTAGTTTCAAAATGACAGTACAAATGTTACAATTAATAGTAAAAATGCTAATGCAGTTTAATATTGCTAGGTTTACTTGTTTCATGTTATTTTCAAATCTAGGTTGCTTAATTAAAAAGAAAGTTAAATCCAAAGTAGAGAAACAAAACAAGCTTTAAATATGTCTAACTTTTAGAATGGAATGCCTAATTCATTTATTTCATTCCCTCATTTTTATCAATATAAATGTTTAAATTGTGAACTTTGTTCTGATACTTTTTAGCTGTATTTTCTCGGCTCTGATATTATGTTATTATTATTTTTTTCTAGGAATTCTCAATATTAGTTGATATTTCCCTTTGAACCAAGTTATATTTAATAGAAAAATGTAAAATGGCAAGGTGGAAAGGCTTCCTTATGTTTTGATTGTTATGAATTTCCAGTTTTATCATATTATTGGTGGAGAATATTATTTATACTATTTTTCTTTATGTACCTTATTGAGGTGTACATGCCTCTATATGTAAACTAGAGTCAATTTTTCATCAATGTTTTTTTTCTTGAATTAGGAGAAATCTACTGAAGTCTGTTATTGTTTATTTTTATTTTTCTTTGCATCTCGTGTAATTTCTGCTTTATAAAGTAGCTGCTGTGTTATTTGCTGCATACCTTTTCATAAATACTTTGTTTTTACTCTGAATTGTGTAGCCTTCAGCATTATAGGGTACTCCTTGTCTTAGCAGTGGTATTTGGTCTTAATTCTATTTTATTGGATTTCAAAATCTCAATTTTTTCTCTTTTTTATTTGCATTTTCTCGTTGTATCTTTGCCCTTCCTTTCATAGTTAGTGTTTCTGAATTGTTTTGTTTTAGTTGGGTCTTTATCTTTTATATACTGCATGCAGTTGGGTTTTCCTTTGAGATCAGCCAAATTTTTTACCTTTCAATAGTGGGATTAAGCCCTTTATTGGCTGATATGCTTGGTCTCAATTATCTTGTATGTTATATTTACACGTGTAAAATGTAGCATATTTGATGGTGGTAAGCGCTATTGAGGAAAATAAAGAAATGGGGGGTAGGAAATATTGGGAGAAATACTCTATTTTAAATAGGTGGTCAAGGAAGGCCTCAATGAGAAGGTGATTTTTGCACAAACACTGAAAGTAGGTGAAGGAATGAATCATTTGGATAAATGAGGTAAGACTGTTCCTGTCAGAGAGAACAGCTAGGGGAAAGGCCCTGGGGCACAAGTGTACCTGATGTGTTGTAAACAACATCAAGGGAGCTGGTGCAACTAGAATGGAGTAAGCAGGAGAACAGAGGGAGATAAGGCAAGTGCTGACAAGCCAAGGAGGATCAGATGGGGCCTGTCAGTCTTAGGGATTGAGCAAAGGCTACCCCCCTTCAAGAGAAATTTTGATGCTAGATGTTGAAGTAATACTTCTGCCATATGACAGTAATAAATTAATAGCTATGGGAATACATTAATAACCCCAGGGAATTTCAGCCAAGGTAGGAGAGGAAGTCAGGCTTTGGGGTATTATGTTTTGGGGTATAACTCAAATTATGCATGAAAGTAATTTCATATTTAGTAACTTTGAGGACTGGATCACTAAACACCTTTTCCAATCCGTAACATTGCAATGATCCTTGAATATCTTCTTCAAATCTCTGATGTTTCAGTTTGTACTTTATGTTCTACCTCCAAACACATCAGAGATGGCTTTGGGGTATTATGTTTTGGGGTATAACTCAAATTATGCATGAAAGTAATTTCATATTTGGTAACTTTGAGGACTGGATCACTAAACACCTTTTCCCATCCGTAACATTGTAATGATCCTTGAATATCTTCTTCAAATCTCTGATGTTTCAGTTTGTACTTTATGTTCTACCTCCAAACACATCAGAGACCACAACTACAGCTTTTGGCTATTTGAAGCTGGGCGTAACGGGGGAAGAATTTTGTTGTAAGATACATATCAATGAAATGTTTCTTGACTAATGTTCACAAAGCATAAAAACATTAAAATTCTAAGCTCAGAAACTTAATTAAAGGCCAGAAAGTGATAGATTTCCTTTAAAAAGTCAAGTATTTGGCTTAAATCAGTTTTTTTTTTGGTTTGTTTTTGTTTTTTCTTTTTATAAAGAAATCTGTGTTTTAACAAAAAAACTGTATGGCAGAGAAAGTAGAATGAAATGGGTGTGTGTATGTGAGGGAGGAATAGTGATGAATTAAGTCTGTAATCCAGAAAAAGTGTTCAGGATGGGAACAGAGAAGGGACAAACTATATATGCAGGATTACTTCTTCCTTGTCTTCATGTGTTTCATCTGGAAACATTTTAATTTTTCTCTTTCCCTTTTCCTCCTTTTTTTCTCCTCTATCTTTCCTTTTCTTGAGCTAAACTGTCACAGTGAAATACTGCGACTAAGTCACAACTCATGGAAAACTGAACGGTGCATTGTGAAATAGGACACAAAACAAACG